TCCGGGCTCGGCCGCGGGGGGTTACCTGCGGGAGCGGACGGGGCAGGTTGGGCCGTGCCTGGGGCATCTTCCGGGTGGGGGCCCGGGACCCCCCAGGGACCTTGGAGCAAGACAGTTCTGCGCCCCACCGGCATCTTCCAGGGCTTTCCTGGTCCCCCAGTCCAGTGTCTCCCGGTCGCACACATATCACACATTCCCACCTTTTTTTTTTGGTGAGTTGGAGTCTCACTCTGTCGCCCAGGCTGGAGTGCAGTGGCACGCTCCCGGCCACCGCAGCCTCAACCTGCTGGGCTCCGGCGATCCTTCCGCCTCAGCCTTCCAAGTAGCCGGAACTACAGGCACGCGCCCCTACGCCTGGCCAATTTTTTATTTATTGTAGAGACAAGGTCTCACCAACTTGCCGGGGCAGGTCTCCAACCTAGGGACTCAGGCAATCCTCTCGCCTCGGCCTCCCAAAGTGCTGAGATGACAAGCTGAGCCACCAAGCCCGGCCACATTCTGGCCTTTCGTAAGAAGGAGGGCAGTGCGGGCCAAGGAACCAGCAGGGCAAAGCCTGGGAGGCGGCCAGGGGCCCTGAGCCCAGAGACGTCAGGAGGGGAGTCAAAAAGATGGCAGGCCCAGGCTAGATCACAGTGGGCCTCAGTGGCCATCATGGGCAGCCAGGGGCAAGGCTGGCACCATCCACTGCGACCAGCACCCTGTACTCTGGGCCCACCCCTTCCTAGCTGGGCAGCTAGGCCCTCTGTCCACCCATCCCCACTCCGGCTTATAGGAAGCACACAGGTCAACTGCAGCATCCACAAAAGCCCTGAGGAGCACGTGTCCCTGTTCCGATTTCAGAAACAAGGAAACAGGCCCACGGGGTCAGCGCCTTGCCCAAGGTCACAGCTGGTGTATAGAGCCGTGTTTGTGTCAGGGCTGAGCTGAATGGTTTAGGGGCATTATGCTGTCTGACCCTCATGCCCCAGGGGCTCCAGGCTCAGAGAGGTTAATCACTTGCGTAAGGCTGTACAGCCAGTGAGGGGTGGAGCGTCAGAGTCTCCTCTCTGCCATTTCCCAGCCAGACTCTGCCCTAGATTTCAAGATATCCGTGTCCTACCTTCAAGCCTAGGGTTGCTGGACTCCATCCTAGACCGCCTAGGGCAGGGATGGGAACCCGTCACTAAGGAGATAGGGGCGTCTAAGATGGCTTCCCTCAAGCCTGATACTGTCAGATTCCTTCTTGGCTCTAAAGCCTGCCATGGCTCTCCAGGGCCACGAGAAGAAAGTCTGGCCTCCTTGGCTGGGTTTTCAAAGCCTGCCCTCCTAGCGCCTTGTCTTTCCCTTCCTCCTTGGGCCAGGAGTGGAGTGAGCTTGCCTGGGATGGAGCACTGAGTTGTCTGGTGGGGGAAGATGTCCAAGGCTGGGAAAAGTGAGCTTTGCCAGGACCAAACACTTGGCTCAGAGTCCCCGCTGTTAGCCACAACCCTCACTCAGACTCTGCCTCTTATCTCGCCCTGCCCCATCCTTGGCCACTGCCACTCAGGCAAGGGCCGAGGGAGTCCTTCTAAAATGCAAAACTGCCGGGCATGGTGGCTCACACCTGTCATCCCAGCACTTTGGGAGGCCAAGGCGAGAGGATTGCCTGAGCCCAGGGGTTCAAGACCAGCCAGGACAACTTGGCAAGACCTTGTCTCTGCAATAAATCCAAAAATCAGCGAAGCATGGTGGTGCGCACCTGTAGTTCCAGTTACTTGGAAGGCTGAGGCAGAAGGATTGCCGGAGTCCAGCAGGTTGAGGCTGCAGTGGCTGCCATGAGCACTCCAGCCTGGGCGGCAGAGTGAGACTTTGACTCAAAAAAACCAAAACAAAACAAAACATCATTTCCAGACCCCTCCTGAGCTGGCTCCAGCCTACTTTCCCAGTCTCGTTCACTCATTCATTCAACAAACATCTACTGGCTCAGGTGCCAGGGGATACAGGCCTGGCTCCTGCCCTCCTAGCAAGCTCTGAATCTCCCTAAGTTTTCTCTTCCTCGGGTCTGGTGAGCCACGCCTGTGCACACACTATTTCCTTTGCCTGGCTCACCTGTCCCACCTCAGCTTTCAGTGACCTCTTATTCACTATCCAAGACCCGGCTGGGAGGTCACCTCCTCTGTGAAGCCTTCCCAGATCCCCCTGAGCCCGTGCAGTTATTGTTCATGCTGTGTCTTATATAGTCTCTACTGGACTTGTTTATTTATGAATCTGCCTCCTTTACTAGACTAGGCTGTCTCTGAGGTCAGGGCGGGGTTATCTCTAACACTCTGGTGCCTGGCTCATAAAATGCATTAATTCATGCTTTGGGAGGCTGAGGTGAGTGGATTGCCTGAGCTCGCGGATTCGAGACCAGCCTGGGCAACTTGGCGAGACCTCATCTCTACAATAAATCAAAAAATCAGCCGGGCATGGTAGCACGTGCCTGTAATTCTGGCTACTTGGAAGGCTGAGGCAGAAGGATCGCACGAGCCCAGCAGGTCGAGGCTGCAGTGGCCGGGAGCAGCCACTGCACTCCAGTCTGGGCGACAGAGTGAGACTCCAACTTAAAAAAAAAAAAAAAAAAAACGCATTAATTCCTGTTTGATGGAAGAATCTATTTTTCTTTCCTTTTTTTTTTTTAGTTGGAGTCTCATTCTGTTGCCCAGGCTAGAATGCAGTGGCATGCTCACAGCTACCACCTGCTAGATTCAGGCGATCCTCTGTCTCCACCATCCAAGTAGCTGGCACCATAGGCATGCACCACCATGCCCGGTTGATTTTTTTTATTTATTGTAGAGACAAGGTCTCACCATGTTGCCCAAGCTGGTCTCGAACCCCTGAGCTCTGGTATCCTCTCACCTCTGCCTCCCAAAGTGCTGGGATTACAGATGTGAGCCACTGTGCCCAGCTAGAATCCATTTTTCTAATTTTGGCCCCACATGAGGTGATCGTTATTAGCCCATTTCAAAGGCGAAGAAACTGATCACTTATAGTGAGCTTAAACAAAAGTTTAAACAGAGGAGAGGAAAGCATGTTTGCAATAAGAGAAATGAAGGCCGGGCAAGAAAAATGAAATGAAGGCTGGGCACGGTGGCTCATACCTGTAATCCCAGCACTTTGGGAGGCTGAGGTGGGAGAACTGCTTGAGCCCAGGAGTTCAAGATCAGCCTGGGCAATATAGCAAGACCTCGACTCTACAAAAATAAAATAACATAAATCAGCCAAGCATGGTGGCATACACCAGTTAGTCCCAGTGACTCAGGAGGCTGAGGTGGAAGGACAGTCTGAGCCCAGAAGTTTGAGGCTGCAGTGAGCTATGATTGTGCCACTGCAGCACTCCAGCCTGGGTGACAGAGTGAGACCCCGACTTGGGAAAAAAAAAGAGAGAAATGAGACAAAGGAAGAGAAGGCAGCCCATAAAATGAGAGAACAGACACCCCTGCCATCCACGGCCTGAGAAACTGAGGTTCCAAGAGGTTAGTGACTTCTCCAGGGCGATCTGGCTAGGATCTGAATTTGCCTCTAACTTCCTGGCCATAAGAGTTGCCAACCCTGCTGTTTAGGAGAAAGCAACACGGCCATGCTTGACCCAGAGAGGAAGGTGAAACTGCTTCCATGGAACCTAACAGAGAGGACACGCCACGTGGCAGTTAGTAGCTCCTAGGGCAGTTTCTGTCAGTGTAGACTAAATGTGTCCTGCCAGCCAGCATCCCAGGGGCTAGAGCAATCAGCTAGGGACAGGGTGGGTGGGGGAATGTGGCCCTCCAATGGTGTGGCTTATGCCTAGGACAATTTCTTTTTTTTTTTGGAGTTGGGAGTCT